TTCAATTTCTGCCTCATTTTGTGATGTCGTTTTTTTGAGTGGCTGTGACATGAGTTAAGTGTGTAGTTTTACCTTTGCATTGCTCAGTCTAGTCAGTTCTGTACCCAATATTGTTTATGCTTTGTTTATGATGGTGCAGAAGGTCTGCACATAGGGTTGTGTAAGTAGTAAAGGATGAGGCTCTGCAAAAGCTTGTTGCACTCACAAGTTTTTCCTTGCCAGTAATTCTGTTTTTTTTTTTTCCTAAGAGAAGTTATTCTTTATAAAAAAACAGTCACACTACATTTTCTAGTTCTATGTAATTTTCTTTCCATTCTGGTCTTCACTAGTTATAAATAACATATGAAATGACTTTAAAGGTAGAAAGCAGGAATCCATTTTGAAATGTTCTATAAAAGAAAGAGTGATTTATGATTTCATATGATTCTGGCTGAAAGCACTCCTGCTTTGCCAGGTCATCAAAGTTCTGTCAGAAGAATCTATTATTTATTTGTTCGATGTCTGGGAGTGGTGTACGTACTTTATTTTATGTTTATCTTATGTAAGTGCAGTGTTAGGAATAAATCAATTCCAGATACTAATACAATTTTAAAAATAGATCATAGAGAACTAACCTAAATTTTATAGTTGTAAATGATGATGTTCAACATTTGGATTAAAAGGGGATTTTGAAAAATAAATGAATAATGATTTCATTCCTATAAAATGTTTTAGATAATATTTTTGAAAATACTAATTTCATGCCTTTTTGGTTCTGATTTTAGTCTACGTCCTTCATTTGGTAATGAAACATCTCTATTTTATCTAGACAGCTTTTGGGAAATTGCAGATAACTGTGACTACACATGTTTGTTATGTGAACATATAACATTACATAAGCTTCCAATATATTTTTTTTCTAGCTATCAACATTATAACTATATCAACTGAGAAGAGCATGGTATAAGCCTCAATGTCCCCCATTACAAACTGTTAAGAAATGCTAACATAATACCTAATATTTCCCTGTGTTTGATAAAAATACCTTGGAGTACAAGTTGTTGATCTTGCATCATAATTATAATTTTTCCCATAGTCCTTTGGCAGAGTTCTTTGATATACACTCACTAATGAATTTAATAATCATATATAGTAATGTGAAATTTTTAAATGATATTAAATGTTTGATGCACTTCTATAGTGTACTTATAGAAAAAGCTATTGAACCTCTTTTGGAAAAATAATATTAAGTTATAAGATCTTTGATAACTTAAGTAAATAGTAAACAAGTGATAGTTTCTCTTTCTTTCAAATGACTGATCTTACTGAAGGGGTAGGAAGAGAAGGGAAGAGAGCCAATATTTATTGAATGTTGGTGACATGTCAGGAGGCACTGTGTAAGGTGTTTTACATCATTTTGTACCTATTCCTCCCTGTACCCCATGAGATGTTTTGTTAACCCTTTATTGCAGTTGAAAATATTGTACTTGTATATTTGTACTCATGTATTGCAGTGTGTTTCCATTATAACGCTGTGTGATTTGACCCTGATCTAGGTTATCTGTTTTTAACTCACGTCTGTCTGGCTTTTCCTTGTGAGAGTCTGTGTGATTCATTGGACGCCTATACGTGTTCCATATAAATGCCTCACAAGGGTATTGTGTTTTAATTTGAGTAATAGTTCAGACGTAGTTCACTTTTTTGGTGCCAAGTGTTAAAAAAAGTTTTATTTTGAAATTCATCAAGAGTTTAAATGCTATTAAAATTGAGCTTATAAATATGAGTTTAAACAAAACAAGCAGTAATTTTACATTTTTGCTAAATTATTATCATTAAGAACCAAAAGTTTAAGTATGTTAACATTTCCTAAATAAGAATTTCTTAAAAATCTGAAACTTAAAGCTTCACATTTGTACAAATTCATTTTTTATGCAGTGACTGGAGTTGTTTTTCTGAAACAGTGATTTGATTATACTGTTCTGGCTAAAATCCTTTCAAGACTCCCCTTTGCTATAGGTTCAAGCTCAGACTCCAAAGTTTGGCTCCAGCCACTCTTTTGTTCTCTTCCTTCACCCTTTGGCAGGAATACTCTCCCTACTACTTTACTTTTTCATTCACTTTTTCCTCCTATACTCTTCAGTTGGGTTATTACAGATCCTAAAAGACCCATCTAGTGTCCCCTGCCCTTTGGATCTTTCCATGAGTCCTCTCTGCAGAGAGACTGCTTCTTTTCACTGTGTTCCTGTAACAGTTTTGATTGCATTTATTATTTTAATTCCTTTAAATTCTTGTTCTTTAGACTCTGAGGTTTTTTAGGCTATGAATTGTCTTAATCTTTCTTCTCATCATCTGTCACAGTCTGCTCTGGTCCTTCCTCCTTCCCTTTCCCCATTTTCTCTTTGTTTCTTTCCCTTCAACAAATATTTATATTGAGTATCTACTACATGCCTCCTCTGTTCAAGGAATTCAGTGTTTACTGAATATGTGGGAAGAAATGTGAAATCCTGACCAGGAAGACATTATAATCTAACTGTACTATAAGTCTGTTATTTTAATCATTGTCAGCACACAGATAATAGACTTTTGTCATCTAACGGAGGAACACCATGTCAGTTTCACAAACTTGCAGGGTTTTTGGATAGAAATATTAAGGGAAAACACAAATAATAGTTATTTTGGTTTTATGTAATTGGGACTCAAATCATGGTCAGTTATTGAAATCCATCCTTGGCTTTGCTTTGTCAGCAGAGACATGATTTCTGACAGTGGTGATCATGGTTTGGAAATAACCACATACATATTTGTCTGTCCAAAGTAACAGCTAATTTGGGCCAAGTAGAAGAGAGATTTTTTTATTGTTTGCTGTTGGAGTTGGAATCTGGTAAAAATAGGTGTACGTTTGCAGTAGCATTTAGATGAAAATGTAATGCTTCTAAAAGATCTTTCTGAAGAAGAATAAAAGTAGATACATAGTGTTTATACAGCAGGTACCCTTTGCTAACAACTGAACAGTCCTATGAGGTAGCTGGTGGTGTTCCCATTGATAGAGGAAGAAAGAAAGGCTTAGACAAGTCAAGTGACTTGTCTGAGATCACACCTCTAGTTAAGCAGCAGAACTAAGATTCAAGCCTAGGTCTGCTGGATTGAGACCATACCCATTCCATTATGTTGCTGCCTTGCCCTTAACTCCTCATTCTCAGATTCATGTCCAAGTTGGAGAGAATGAATTTACTATGGTAATTTGAATTTGAGATAATGAATTACTGAATTACTTGATCTTTGGCAAATTATTTAACCTTTCTAATCCCATTTTCTCATGTAGATAATACTGCTTCTCACCCAGGATTATAATGAGGAATAAATGAGATGATGTATATGAAAATATATTGTGAACTTTAAAGCCTTATACTAATGTTTGGTGGTAACCTTGTTAATGCTGTCATTATAACATGCTCTAACATACTACTTGTGTTTCCTGAGCATTTCTCTGCTGTTGTCCTTTTTAAACTGCTTAGCAGCTTTTAAAGTGCCATAGTGACTGCATTTCATTAATAAGAAAAGTTACTTCTTTGGGTATAAAAAGTTCAGATAGTCTTAAGATAAAAAATATTAGAACAATACAGTTTTAACTGTTTGAAGAACCAAGTATTCTTAACTGAAACTTTCTTTCTCCTATTTCCTTGTATGCCAAAAATTCTCACTTTGTTTTCTCTTTGAATTGTTTCCAAAGTTAAGTTGAAACTTTATGATGGCTTATTTTCAATAATTGATATTTAGTGGCTAAATTCAATACATTTGGTCAGAACTTTTTTGAGCCAAACATTATATACCCACAAAGTATTATTCATCACTGGAAAACTCTAGTTCTTCTGTGAAGGCAGCTGGAGCTTGTGTTTAATGTGGTCTTTAAGTAGAGATTGACTATGTAAATTGCTTCCATATGCATATTGCTTTCTATGTAAAGAAGATAACTGTTCCTTTTTCTTGAAATCCTCGATGCTTAGTGTGTAGTTTAAACTGTTGCCAGAAGAATGGTGCTGTTTCTTTTCTACTAGGTAAAAATCCTAGAGGATCAGGGTGTTTCATTGTAAGTGAAAGAGTCAGTAGCAGGACTATAAAGTTGCATTAAACTTTGAAAACATGCTTTGTTCATTTCACTGATAAGATTTAATAGCCTCTATTGAAATGGTAGATATTATGATAAAAAGTTATGGAAAAGTCTTGAACTTACAACATAGGGTATTAACTAGCTGGTGTAGCTGAACACCTGAATTTTTTAAAATTATAAAATCATTCTCTCTGGTAATTTTTACTTTCTGTTGGTGCTGATAGTAGTAATATATATATATTTCCTTTTATGGTAACCAACTTTATGGTGTGGCTTAACTTGAATCCAAAACAGTAATGTTCATTTCAAATTGCTGTATTAACCAGAAAGTAAAACAGTACATCTTGTAAATGGCCAGCCTCTTTTTAAACTAGCTAACCTATTGCTTAAATTGGAAAATGTATGCCTTTCCCATTGAGAGGCACTGTGGCTTTGGAGTTAGATTTGGGTTCAGATTTCAACTCTTAAAACTTCTGTAAAAAAAAAGGGCAATAAGTTAATGTATTTGTACCCCAGTTTCTTCTTTATCTGTAAAATGTTTATGCAGATACTTTTCTCTCATTACAGTTGGGAGAATGAAATAAGTTACCGTGTGAACATAGTTCCTAAATTTCAAAGTGCTGTATGAACAATATTTTGACAATTGCTTATTTATGGTAATTTTCAGATAAAAAGAATTTAAGTACTTGATTTTTTAATAGTTTCCATCTAATAAATTTTCAGTATTAGTATTATATGTTTAAGAAATATCCAACAGTATTATAAAAATATAAACTTTATGATTTTGAATACAAAGATGAGCTTGTTAAATTCTAATGTACAGCAATGGAATGAATTGAACATTTTGTGTAATATATATATATGAATATATGTATTTCTACATTCAAAATGATATAGGTGTGTATTTTTATAGGTTTGCCTGAATCCATCTTTGCAGCTGCATGTTCAAGAAGTGGCCAGAGGGTTCTGCATGTTGATTCGTAAGTTTATCAATGGTAGCATTTGATACTTCTAAATGTCTCTACACAAAATTAAAATTTAAATATACACATGTTTATGTACATATATATGTCATTGATACACGTTTTAAGTTAGAATGATTGGAATTGCTTAATTTCCACGAAAAATATGTGAAATATATGACATATAAATTTAAATTTTAAACTGTGAAAAAATGAGCCATTTCCTTTGAGAATAAACTATATACCATAGTTTTGTTTTTCACATGAGTAATTTTGTTTTTTCAATGATATATAATTTTCCAAGAGGCTTGGAATATTCAGACCTACCTTTTTCCATATATATGTGTGTGGGTGTGTACAACCTGTGTATGCTATTATATTTTAGGCTTCCTATTTTTTTTATTGAAACATAATTGACATTATATTAGTTTCAGATGCACAAATAATGATTGGACATGTGTATACATTGTGAAATGGTGTTAAAGTTCCCTGCTATGATTGTATTGTTGTCAGTTTCCCCCAATAGGTTTGTTAATATTTGCTTCATGTATTTTGGTGCTCCCTCGTTGGGTGCATATATATTTATAAATGTTGCATCTTCCTGCTGGAATGACCCTTTTATCATTATGTAGTGTCCCTCTTTGTCTTTTATTGCAGTCTTTGTTTTAAAGTCTGTTTTGTCTGATGTGAGTATAGCTACACCAGCTTTCTTTTCATTTTTATTTGCATGATATATATTTCTCCATGCCTTCACTTTTTTAGTCTGTATGTGTCCTTCCTTCTGATGTTAGTCTCTTGAAGGCAGCATTTATATGGATCTTATTTTTTATCTATTCAGCTACTTTATGTCTTGATTGAAGAATTTAGTCCATTTACATATAAAGTAATTGTTGATTGGTTTGTATTATCATTTTTAAAACTGTTTTCTGTTTTTTGTAGTTTCTCTGTTCCTTTCTTCTTTCACTTTTTCCCCTTTTGGTTTGATGACTTTCTTAAGTGTTATGCTTAGAGTACTCATATTTTGTGTATTTATCATAGATTTTTGCTTGTGGTTACCATGGGGTTTACATATAATGACTTATATATGTGTACATGTATCAGTTTATTTTAAGTTGATATAACAAGTTAAGCATTCTAAAATTCTGCATTTTTACTCCCTACCCCTAGGTTTTTTGTTTTTGATATCATACTTACATCTCTATTTTTGTATCCCTTAAGTAATTATTATAGTTATTTTTACTAATTTTACTTTTTAACCTTTGTATAGCTTTATAAGTGATTTATCTACTACCTTTATATATTTACCTTTACCAGTGAGATATTTACTCATGTTTTCTTCTTCCTAATTAGTGTCTTTCATTGTCAGCTTAAAGATGTCCTTTTAGCAGGTCATGTAGGGCTGGTTTAGTGGTGAAGGACTTTGTTAGCTTTTGTTTGTCTGGAAAGTTCTTTATTTCTCCTTTAATTCTGAATGATAACCCTGCCAGGTAAGGTATTCTTGGATGGAAGTTTTTTCCTTTGTCAGTTTGAATGTACGATGCCACTCCTTTCTGGCTTCTGAAGTTTCTGCTGAGAAAACTGCTGACAGTCTCTGGGTGTTTTCTTGTACATAACAAATTGTTTTTCTCTTAGTGATTTTAAGATTCTCTCTTTATCTTTACCTCTTGACATTTTAATTGTAATGTGTCTTGGTGTGGTTCTCTTTGGGTTCATCTTGTTTGAAACCTTGTGGAATTCCTGGGACTGCATATCTATTTCCAGGTTAGGGAAGTTTTCAACCATTATTTCTTCACATAATTTTTCTGCCCTTTTTCTCTCTCCTTGGGGACCTTATAATGCAAATGTTAGAAGATTTGATGTTGTCCCTTACACTACCTTTTAACTTTTTTCTTTTTGCTATTCTGGGTGAGTTCCACTGCTCTATCTTCTAGATCACTGAGTCTTTCTTCTGCTTCATGTAGTCTGCTTTTTAACCCCTCTAGTATATTATTAAGTTCATTTATTGTATTCTTTGGACCTGTGGCTTCTTTTTGGTACTTCATGTTTTCTGTCTCTTTATTGAGGTTCTTGTTGTGTTCATACTTTCCCCAAGTTCAGTGAGCTTCCTTTTGACAATTACTTTGAACCATTTATCAGGTAGATTAACTATCTGTATCATTTAGGGTTTTTCTGGAGTTTTATCTTGTTCTGTCACTTGAAACATATTACTTTGTCTTCTCATTTTGCTTGACTCTCTGTGTTTGATTCTATGTGTTAGGCAAAACAGCTCACTCTCACAGTCTTGAAGGAGTGGCCCTGTGTAGGAGATGAACCTCGCTGCTTAACCTTGCCCTAACTCTTTTTTGTCTCTCAAACCATTGTGGTTATCTAATAAGCCTATTTTATTCTTAATATTCACAGTGGTTGAGAGATTTCCAAGTCCTGTGAATGTTCCAGAGTGTGGGATCTCAGATAGCCTCTAGTTTCAGGCTGATTGTAAGCTAGACCCTCAGGCAACAATTTTTAAGGAATGGCCTCCAGACCAGATGATGTAGAGGTATTATCCCCTTAGAGACACTTGCAAAAATTGGGGCTCTAGATGAGTGTATGGGCTCCTCTGGGGGAGGTAATGGCAAGCTGTGGTGAGGCCAAGAAAGAGTACAAAGATGGCATTCCCCTGGCGTACATTCTGTGAAAGCGCTTCCATAGCCTCTAGATGTGTGGTAGTCCTGAAGTGTGCCCCCCAGACTGAAGCTTCAGGACAAGTAAATAGTCCTTTTTCACAGGAAGACTGGGGATGTGTATTGGTCTCCTGTCTGTACAGTGGCCTTGGGGTGGTAGCCTGCCAAGAACGGTTTTTCTAATTGTTTCAGACCCATGTGGCCCAGAAATGAAATCCTCCCTGGCCACCAGTGCCAGGTGCTTAAGGTGGAGACTGTGTGTACCCACCATCTTTGGCAGGGCTGCAGGAACAGTATGGTGGTGGGGTACTCAGACATCTGGCTCTGGCAGAGCTGAGGGGCGGGGCATGCCCACCAGCACTAGCTTGGTAGAGGGGAATGCAAAAATGGCACTTCCCAGTGCCTCCATCCTTGGGGAGAGTCCTAACAGGCTCCTGTCTTTCCAACATACACTTAAAGATTAGCAAAAGAATCTCCTTCACGTATGGTCTAGCTGTTTTCAAACTGCTGCTTCTGTGCTGGGTCCTGGGCAAGTGAGTATATTCTCAAGCCTTTTTAGAGCAGAATCTGTTTACTACATTCCTATGGTTTTCCTGGACATAAGCACTGTTGGTTTTCAAAGATGTGTTTTGGAGGCTTGTCTCTGTGCTATAGGGCCCAAGGGTTGTGGTGCCTGATGTGGGGCATAAACCCCTTACTCCTCAGGTAGAAACTGTATTTGTGAGATCCCTCCTGATGGTGGGTTGCCATGCTGTGGGTAGAGTTTTGGTGAGACTGAGTATTTCTTTCCTACCTGCTCAGTGTGGTCGTTTTATCCTTGGTTGTCAAGGAGCTGTTCAGCCTGTTTTCAGGTCTTTTTCATGGGGGATTACATCATAGGTAAGTGTAGATTTGCTGTATTCATGGGAAGAGTTTAGGATCTTCCTGTGCCACCATCTTGAACTGCCATTCATCTTAGGCTTCATACTTGGTTGTTGAAAAATTCAGCTAATAGAATTAGGGTATGTGGGTTTCTTAAAATACGTAAAAATTTAAGCTATTAGAAAAATCCGAACTAAGAAAAATATCCAGAATTTTGTTTCCCCCTTTTCTTTAAATGTGAAGGTAAAAAGGAAGTTAGTGGAAAATTTAAGTTAAAGTTAAAATTTTTCCATTCCTGTTTCCTCCTGAAACAAACCCCTAACTTTTCATCTATTGAGTGCTTTTGACCATTATATCTTGGCACTTTAATTGTTCATTAAATAGGAGTAGTAAAGAAACAAGAAGAAATGGACTTTATATTTTTAGTTAGATACTAATACTAACTGCATTGTTTTTCAGAATGCCAGAATACAAAAAATGACTAGATTTGTTGCAATTTACAGTGCTTTCTCATATATTATCCCCTTGTAAATATGTAGGAATCCAGTATCGTTCATTTACATTTTTATCTTCTAAATTTAATTTGAAAACATAGTAACTCCTCAGTTACTGGATGACATTTCTGAATTAAATAAGATTCCTATTTTAGATAAGTCCTGCCTTTGGAATTCTCTTTCATTATTGTGTGCGTAACTGTAATAATGTCTTAAGTTAGTCTTTTTGACACGTCATGGATTCAAATGCCAAAAAATCTGCCACCTTGACAGCCCTTGAAAGGTACTGGGCCAGTGTGCTTTAAAAGGCTTAATATAAATTTGAGTTATTTCTGATAATGTTAACTAACCTATAATTGAAAATAAGATCTTAAATTTCCCAAAATTGTTATTTGTTTTGCTTGCCCTGGATGCAGCTCAACCATATCTGTTTCTTTGCACCTGTTTTGTAATTTAATTCCCATCACAGACAAGTGAAGTAGGTAGTGTTATCCCAGTTTAACAAATGGGGAATGTAAGGCATAAAGAGGTTAAGTAATTTTTAGAACTTTACCCAGGTAGTATATGTCTAAATTCGAATTTATTTTGTGTTTTCTTATTTTAAAACCTGAGGTCTTATCAGAATGAAGAATATTTTATAAATTACATAGGGTTTACTGGTACTCTAAAATAAATTTTGATTAGGAATGTAAGAAGCTAAATCTTCAATTAACAGTGAACATATCATATTTGGTAATGTATATAACTGTTGAATCACTATGTTGTGTACCTGAAACCAATATAGTGTATGTCAACTAAATTTCAATTAAAAATAAATAAAAATAGTATTTCAAAGTAAAAAATACTTTTTTTCTTACATTTTAGATCCTCAGGCTTGGTGGCTTTGAGAGTTTAATGACATCTAGGTATTGGTTTACAGGATGTTTTCCTACTGTGGTCCAGGTTTAAATATTTTCTTATTTTTATTCATTTTGTTACTAAAGGCTCTTCATAGTCAGATTCA